CATCAGATGAAGCACAGGAATTAGACTCCGAATTCTTTTTAAAGAAAAGCCTGAGATATTAACAACAAAAAAGAAAAACAAACAAGAAGAAGGATGTGCAACACACATATATCTACTCAGTGTGCTCCTTTTAATTATGCTTAATTCTACCTTCAGAGGACAGAGGTCATGTCCATAGCTTTGTATGTAAAAGTAGCTTCAGTAATTTCTCAGATTTTTTAAAGTGTCATTTAAGGTAATGACTATGCAAAGAGAATACTTTTTCTCATCGTATGTAACTTATTTTCTTACCTCTTTAATATTCATAATCTCAAATCTTTGATAAATATTTCCCACTTAAAGAGAAAAGATTTACAAATTGTGTCACTAATATTCAAGTGCCTCAGCCCACATTTCCTAACAATGATATCATATACTTTCACAAATGAATGATGAATAAATACAAAGTTCCATGCTAGAGCCTTTCCCACAGCACTCCAAAATTAACTACAGGAAATGAAGAGAAGTGAGCAGCAATCAAAAGTATAATTTCTTCCTTTACTTATATATAGTATTTTTAAAGAACTCATACTGCACAAAGTCGAGAGGGATGTAAAATCTTTTTTAAAAAAGGAAAGACTTAACGTGAGAAAATGAAGGGTTAGTAAAATCCAGATTTAGTACCTGTGCTAGAGTGATTATCAGTGGAGTCAAGCCTGATTAAATCTCTGACGAAGACTGTGTGTTCCCCATTGTTAGCATCATTAGAACTATCCACACTACCGTGGCTCACCGTGTCCCCATCACTTCCACCTGTAGCATTCTGAGGAGCTAAAGATAAGGACAACAGTAGTTCAATAATTCATGAATAATTTATAAAAGCAACCATCAGTGACCCAAAGTTGTAGAATACTTTCTAAATATTTTGAGGGTGAAATCTTGGGCTAAGGTATTACTGTCTTTATCTGTATTTAAAAATATCAACCAGAATTTAAGTTTTCTACTTCATATCATCTAAATTCATATACCTATAAAGCTTATGGTTCAGCAAGAAAGTACCTTTCCAATCACATGTATTACCTGATATTGAGGAGACCTGTAACTTCTGCATGGTCTTTTTAAGCGGCTGTCTAAATTGTGCCAAGCCATGGACCACATTTCGTACCTTCGTCCATAAGAAGATACCACTGCGGGTACTGCTAGGCCATGGGCTCTCCAAAACTACCTAAGGTAAGATCAAGGGAAAAGTAATGATTAGTACAAATGTCTGATTTTTAAAACTACACATACATATATTTATATAATACATATATAAAGGTTGTAATACAAAATCTCTAAAAGAAGGTAGGAAAAAATTAATCAATCTTAATAAACAACACATATTGCCCAATGTCAATCCTACTTACCTTATTATAATAACCGTAAGTAATAGCATTTGGCTTTATGTTAGCAGTTTTCATTTCAAATAAGACTCTCACAGCTAAAACAGGATGACCCCAAAGTCCACAAAGCTGCATTACCACTCGATAGCACACCTAACAAAAAAATATCAAAGTATTAGTTAGCATGTAATCCATCTGTGACTTGTAGAGATTTTTTAAAATTATTTTATTGACTGTTATTACATTTGTCACAATTTTTCCGTCTGTCTCCCTCCATCCAGCACCTGCACTTCCTGAGGCAATATCCCCACCATTGTTCATATCTATAAGTCATTCATATAAGTTCCTTGGCTACTCCACTTCCTATTGGATACTTTACACCCCCATGGCTATTCTGTAACTGCCTATTTGTACTTCTTAATCCCTTCACCTCTTCACCTATTTCCTTACACCCTCCTCCCATCTGGTGATCATCAAAATGTTCTCCAAATCCATGACTGTCTCTGTTCTTCTTGTTAGCTTAGTTTTTTTTTTAGATTCAATTGTTGATAAGTATTTTTCCCATTTTATTATTCATAGTTTGGACCTTTTTTCTTAAATAAGTCCCTTAAACATTTCATATAATAATGGTTTGGTGAAGATTAACTTCTTTAGTTTTTTCTTGTCTGGGAAGCTCTTTATCTGTCCTTTGATTCCAAATGAGTTTTGCTGGGTAAAGCAATGTTGGCTATCAGTCCCTGCTTTTCATGACTTTGAATATTTCTTGTCAGTACCTTCTAGCCTGCAAAGTTTGTTTTGAGAAATCAGCTGACAGTCTTATGGGAGCTCTCCTGTAGGTAACTGTTTTTCTTTTGCCATTGTTAAGATTCTCTCTGATCTTTAACCTTTGGCATTTATGATGTGTCTTGGTGTGGTCCTCTTTGCATCCATCTTGTTTGTGACACTGTCATTCTTGCACTTGTATGTTTATTTCCTTCACCAAATTAGAGAAGTTTTAGTTCATTATTTTTTCAAATAGATTTCCAGTTTCTTGCTCTTTCTTTTCTCCCTCTGGCACCCCTATTATGTGAATGTTGAAATGCTTGAAGTTGTCCAAGAGGCTGCTTAAACTCATCCTCATATTTTTTGGATTCTTCCTCCTTCTTGCTGTTCTTATTCGTTGTTTTTTGCTCCCTTATGTTTCATATCATTGATTTGATTCTTAGCTTCATTCACTCTAATATTGTTTCCCTGTAAATTATTCTTCAATTAGTGTATCCTTTGTTTCTGACTGGATCTTTTTTATGCCATTGAGGTCCTCATTAACTTCCTTCAGTTTTCTTATAACCAGTTTTAAACTCTACATCTAATAGACTGCTTATCTCCATTTTGTTTAGCTCTTTTTCTGGAGTTTTGATCTGTTCTTTCATTTGGGCCATGTTTGTCTCCTCAGTTTGACAGCCTTCCTGTCTTGGTAGCGTGGCCTAACGTAGTAAGTGTCCTGTAGGGTCCAATGACACAGCCACCCCTATAACCCAAGCTAGGTATTTGAGGTGTACACCCTCACCATATGGGCTGAGTATACCCTCTTTCATTGCTGTTGGCAGACCAATGAGAGGGATTTACCCAGGCAAGTCAGTTGCAATGATGGGGTGTGACCACTGACCACCAACCTCTGCCCTCCATGAAGGATCAACTGTACTTGGAGCAGGGTGGTGTTACTCTGATGCGGTCTGTAGCTGTTCACTGGGTTTGGGGTTCCCTGGGTGGTGTAGGCCAAGGTCAGCTCCCACCTGTTTTGTCTGGGGCCACCCTGCATGAGCTATAAAGAAATCTGAGATGGCTGCTTCTTGTGCTAGACTTGGAGGCTCCCAGCACCAAGCTGGGAATCTAGACTGGCTGCTGTTAGTGCTAGGCCTGGGGCCACTTAGCAAGAGATATGGGAGCTGGGGCTTTGCTGATGCTGGCTGTTGCTGTTTGATAGGATTTAGGAAATTGTGAAGCATGAGCTGTTTATATGGAAAAGTCACAGCTAACAGTTTTGGTGGGCCCATAAATTGGGTGGATCAGAGTCTCAGGGGATTTCCAGGGCAATGCAAAGTTTTAGCCAGGTTAATGTGGTCTCAGATATAGCAACAGTTTGCTGGCTGGCTCGGTGGCTCGGTGGCTCTGTGGGGGAAGGGCTCAGAAAAGGAACAATGTCTTTTGCCCTCCTCGCTGTCTGGGAGAAAGCTGTTTCCCATCTCTTGCCTTGATGCCAGATACCTCAGTTCCTCCCCGTATACCACTGGTGCCTTTTAAGCTGCTACCCCGGTGCTAAAGCTCAGAGAGAGTGAGTCTAAGTAAGTCTGTGTGTGGGTTTTTTAAGGGGAACTGCTTGGGACTCGAGGAGTTTTCCACTGACAATCCCTACTGATTTTTGCAGCCAGAAGTTATGTACTTATCTTCCTGGCACTGGAACTCTGGGTTAGGGGTTGGGACTTCTCACTACAGAGATATCTCTTCTGAATTTTCATCTACCACATGCAGATGTGGGACCAGCCTGTTCCACCTCTCTGCTCCTCCTACCGGTATGGATGAAAGCAGTTTAATTCCAAAATTGCCAGACTTCCATTCAACTCAACAATTTCTGATGGTTCTAAGTGATGGATGTCCTATATTTTAGTTGCAATTTTGATGTGGTTGTGTGAAGAGGTGAGCTGTGTTTACATATAACACCATCTTGACCAGAAGTCTTGTAGAATTTTTTAAAGACTTATCTATCTATCTATCTATCTATCTATCTATCTATCTATCTATCATCTATCTTTTAGAGGGGAAGGGAAGGAGAGAGGGAAAGAAACATCAATGTATGGTTGCCTCTTGTGCATTCTCTGCTGGGAACTGGCCTGCAATGCAGGCATGTGCCCTGACTGGGAACCAAACTGCAATCCTTTAGTTCACTGGCCCGTGCTCAATCCACTGAGCTACACCAGCCAGGGCGTCTTGTAGAATTTTTAAAATAATTTACCCAGTCCTTCTCAAAGTTATTAAGCATTATTTTTTTTTCTTTCTTGTGGTTAGAGAGTCTTGTTAAATTATTTGTAAAACCTACTCATTAATGGAAGTACCAGCATTATTAACTATTGCACGTAGCAGTTTGCCATTTGTTTCAATAACTAAATTTACATGAAGAGAATGACTATTATTCTCCATAATTTGAGAAATTCATTTATAAAATCAAGCATGATTAAAATAGCTCTCTCCTAAATCATGTTTTATATTCTATATCAAAGGAATTACAGAAAGAATTTTCCAGAATCCTATATAACAAAAAAAGAATTTGTAAACCCACATCTTTTAAAAGTATGTTAAAAAAGTTAAAAACACTGTAATATAATTAACAAAAGCTTTTCTGATATGCATTTATGAGGGTAAACTAGATTTGATTATAAGAGGACAAGTCAACTAGGTACTCCTAAAGTTAGGAGTAGCTAGATTTGATCATAAGGGGACAAGTCACCTGAGTGAGTACTCACATATTAGGTGATGGAAGAAAACATGAAGAGTGAAGCAGGAATTTCAATGATGTCTGGCTAAGAGGTGAGCCAGTTTATAGAAACAGAAACAGTACAGCCACAGACTTATTTATAATATATAGTTTATTCTGAGAATAAGGACTGCTTGCTTCAAGGAACACTTAAGTAGTATTAAAAACATACGGAGATCAGCATGGCCCATGCATGAGGATGACATGCAAAATCATGAGGCGAATAAGGAAATATACATATAAAAGATACTCTTGTTGGCACTTATAAAATGTGTTGTGCTTGTTTCAGAGTTGCTTAAAAACTGTATCATACAGCCAAGCTGCTCTTTCTATTAGGGTAAAGTATGAAGATATGAGGAAGAAACTTACATTCAAGGGAACAGAAGAAATGAAATGTGAAAAGAGATCTGAAGAGGCAGAGGATCATAAAGACGAGTACTATGAAGCTAAAAATGCAGAGTATAATTTAGGACCAGGAGGAGCAGAAACTGTTAGAGGATCTCTACAAAGGACCAGGTTAAAGATATTTTATGAAACTACAAAAATTAGGAATAACTGAAAGAACTAGATAAGATGTATGAAGAAAAATGTGGGTCAAGAGGGTACTTCAAATATCTGAAGGGTTGTCACATAAAAGGAGTAACCAGTTTGTGTAACTCCAAAATGCACGAGGGAGGTGGAACTCAGCTCATTATAAAACACACATACTTTATAAGTAATTCAAACATAAACAAGATCCCACGCTACAAACTTTCTAGAGCATCTTAGTTTGAGGTTGAAGTTATACTAAAGTATCTTAAAGTCCTATTCAACTGTAAGAAAATCACTTTCTATATCAAACTGGGGTTGATGTGATTTGCTAAAATGACTCTAGACGATGAATTTATTATGAAGATTGCAGAGTGTTCGCCAGCCTTCCAGATTTACTTGTGTAAGAGCCAGGAACCAAAATAAATAGTAATAACACCAAGGATATATTTTCCAATTACAATATTGTGTTGCTAACAACAGGATTTCTTTTGGATGTGTGGTAGATTAAAAAAAATGGTGAACAACTCTGCTATGCCACATACTGAAAGCTCATGTCCTTCTTGAACTGAGGGGGAGGGGCTTAATTCTGCTGCATGACTAACAGAATATCAGCTGAAGTAACACTGCACCAGTTTCCAGGTTTCAGACTTAAGCAACTGCCAGTTTCTACAATACCTCCTCTCTCTTGAAACAAAAGCCCTTGCAGCTATAAGATGTATGGAAAAAGACCAAATACGACATTGAGAGGTCCTAAGATTGCGTGGAGGGAGAGGATCTGACCTGAGCCCAGCCTTCCAGTCAACCTTGCCAAGGTACCTGCCCTGCCTTTGAGTTAAGTTATCTTGGACTCTCCAGATGAAATCAGGGAGCAACTGGTTATAATACATGATTCCAATTAATGCAAAGTGGGGCAGAAAAATCAATCAGAATCTTTCCTAGATTCTCAGCAAAGAATAAGACAATACAACAGCTGTATTAAGCCCTGAAGTTTTGGGGTGGTTTGTTATTCACCAGTAGCTGTTAGACTGATGAAACAATATAGAAATAACCATGACACAAATACTTCATTTTCATTAAAATTTAAGTAAACAGTATTAAACAACAAAATGCGTTATGCATTATAACTTCAATTCAGACTAGGTGGCATATACTATTTCAAGGTCTTCTAAATTTTTACTTTTTAAAATTTCTTAAAAAGATTTTATTTTAAAGCATATTTTCTTGATTATGCTATTACAGTTGTGCCATTTTTTTTCTCCCTTTTATTCCCCTCTGCTCTGCAACTCGCTTCCACAAGCATCTGCCCCCCTTAGTTCCTGTCTATGGATCGTCCATATAAATTCTTTGGCTTTTCTATTTCCTATACTATTCTTAACCTCCCTATATTTTTATGTGTGTTTTACCTTTTTTTTTTTTAATCAAAAAGAGGGAGAGAAACATCAATTTGTGAGACATACTCATTCAGTTGCCTCTCACACGCCCCCAAATGGGAACCTGGCTTGCAACCTGCACATGTGCCCTAACTGGGAATGGAGCCAGCAACAACTTGGTTTACAGGCCAGTGCTCAATCCACTGAGCTACACCAGCCACAATCTTTTTTCAAAAAAAAAAAAGGTATTTTATTGATTATGCTATTATAGTTGTCACATTTTTTCTCTCCTTTATTCCCCTCCACCCTACAACAACCCCCTTAGTTCATGACCACAAGTCATATATATAAGTTCTTTGGCTTCTCCATTTCTTATATTATTCTTAACTTCCTTCTGTTATTTTGTACCTACTATTTATGCTTCTTATTTCCTGTACCTTCCCGCCATTCTACCTCTTCTCCCTCCTTGCTGATAACCCTCCAACTGATCTCCCATTTCTGTGATTCTGTTCCTGTTCTAGTTGTTTGCTTAGTTTGTTCTTGGTTTTGTATTTTTTAGGTTCAGTTGTTGATAGTTGTGAGTTTGTTGTCATTTTACTGTTCATAGTTTTGATCATCTTTTTCTTAGATAAGTCCCTTTAACATTTCATGTAATAAGGTCTTGGTGCTGATGACCTCCTTTAACTTGACCTTATCTGGGAAGCACTTTATCTGCCCTCCCATTCTAAATGAAAGCTTTGCTGGATAGAGCAATCTTGGATGTAGGTCTTTGCCTTTCAACTAAAATAACTTCTTTTGAATACTTCTTTCCAGCCCCTTGTTGCCTATAAGGTTTTTTTTTTTTTTTTTTTGAGAAATCAGCTGATAGGCTAATGGGAACTCTTTTGTAGGTAAGTGACTCCTTTTCTCTTGTGGCTTTTAAGATTCTCTTCTTTTCTTTTATCTTGGGTAATGTAATTATGATGTGCCTTGGTGTGTTCCTCCTTGGGTCCAACTTCTTTGGGACTCTCTGAGCTTCCTAAACTTCCTGGAAGTCTATTCTTTTGCCAGATTAGGGAAGGTCTCCATTATTTGTTCAAATAAGTGTTCAATTTCTTGCTCTTTTTTTTCTCCTCTGGCACCCCTATGATTTGGATGTTGGAATGTTTAAAGTTTTCCCGGAGGTTCCTAAGCCTCTCTTCATTTTTTTTAAAATTCTTCTTTCTTCATTCTGTTTGGTTGTTTACTTCCTCCTTCTGCTCAAAATTGTTGATTTGAACCCCAGTTTCCTCCCCCTCACTGTTGGTTCCCTGGATATTTTTATTTCTCTTTAGATAGCCTTTACTTTTTCCTGTTTTGCAACCATACTCAACCATTTCTGGGAGCATCCTGATGACCAGTGTTTTGAACTCAGCACCTGATAGGTTGGCTCTCTCTTCATCATTTAGTTCTGTTTTTGGAGCTTTGATCTGTTCTGTCATTTGGGCCATTCTCCTGTCTCGATGCAGCTGTTACATTGTAAGGGGTAGAGCCTTAGGTATTCACCAGGGCAGAACAACCTGTGTCACTGCGCCGTGGTGCTATATGTGATGGAAGGGTCAGAGAGGGAACAATGCTGTTTGCTCAGCTCTCATCCGGCTTTCAGTCACCCCCCCCACCCCCTGCCACTATCCACAAGTAAATTGAGACTATCTGGTACTGATTCCCAGGTGGGTGGGTTTATGTATGTTCTACGATCCTATAGGTCTCACCAATGAACTCTCCTGTGAGGCTGGGAGTTTCTCCCACCTCAGCAACCCCCACAGATTTTTTTACAGCCAGAGGTTTCTGTTTTTAGCTGCCTGTATTGGTATCCTGTGTTGTGCAGTCTGTCTCAAACCCAAATTGTCCTTCCCAGTTTATCTGCACACAAATGTGTGACCGCCTTGTCCTCCAGCTGCTGCCCTGCCACGAGTCCTTTCTGCCTCAGGTGCCCATCTCTGCCCCTTCCTACCAGTCTGAATGATTGTTTCTTCTTTAACTCCTTGGTTGTTGGACTTCCATACAGTTTGATTTTCTATCAGATATGGTTATATTTTTGTTTTAAAATTTGTTGTTGTCCTACTGGTTGTGCAAAAAGGCAAAGTGTATCTACCTACATCTCCATCTTGGCCGGAAGTTCTCAAGTTTTATTTTTAAATTTGGCTTATTACAACTTTTACAAACATAAAATGTAGAACACAAAGCCATCAAATTAAAACATTAAGCATATAAAGGAAACATGGAATATGGACCTGAATATGAAAACCACTTACTTTCTGGGTGACCTATGTGTGTGTCAATTCATCTAAGTTTCAAATTTCTTTCTTTTTAAAATGTAGCTAATAAATGAACTACCTCACAGAGTTGCTAGGAATACCACAGAAAATAATGTACATAATATTCTATTCTATGTATAATCAATAAACAGATAAAGTGCACCAAATATACTTATGAAAGATGATTCTTTAATATTAAACAAACATTTATTTCTTCTAGTAGTAGAAATGCAATTACTTTGGTGCACTACAAATCTCTGAAGTTGTTAGATGTAGAAATATAAGAAATTAACCATGAGTTTTTAAATCTTTTATCATGGTGTTTATTGGGGAAATAGAAAAAGTTTCTTAGCTTACTAGTTCTAATTGCTGCATGCTAGAAAACAAGAGAATGTAATTATTTGTATCGGAGACTACCTTAGAACTTTATTATCTCTGGAGGAAAATAATTTTCAGGCAATTTGTGGAATGTCTCTTGAACTTACAACTTATCAAAGAAATAAACAAGTATTGTGCTTTCAATTAGAGTACAATAATATAATCAACATTTGCTCTCTCTTACACCATACTCTAAAACACTTTATAAAAATTAGAATAATTTTTAACACACTAAAATGGATGAGGTACAAAGCACTGACTCTGATCAAGTACAGTACCTTGGTACTTGTAGGCTCTGGAACTCATCAAACCTTGTACTCAGCACATTTTGACAAGAAAAAAGTGTTTCAGCACTTGCACTTGCTCGGGATGCCTCACACTTACTACAACTTGTATGAGTCATGACACTACCCCTCAAGAAAAATTATTTCATTGTTTGGTACTAGGCTGTTTCAGCACTCATCACAAGTTCTAGAATGAATTAATGATGAGTACTGAGGTATCACTGTACTTTTAATTTCCAAATAGTTTTATAAACATCAAATGAGAGAAAACGTAATCAAATATGAGAATGGATATTAGTACTTGTTTTATATCTTACTTTCAAAGCTTTTAGAATATACAGATAATACTTAAAGAAAAATGAGTTTTAATGTACTGATAGCACTACCAAATTATT